AGAGGGCCCAGAAATAAACCCAAGTCTCTATGGTCAATTAATATTTGACAAAGGGGGAAGAAACCTATAAAGGAGTAAAAATAGCCTGCTGAACAAATAGTGTTGGGAGATCTGGACATGCAAAAAAATGAAACTCAACCACCAACTTACACTGTATACAAAGATAAACTCAAGATGGATAAAAGACTTAAATATAAGTCATGATACCATATACGTCCTAGAGGAAAACATAGGCAGGAAAGTCTCAGATATTCCATGCAGCAATATTTTCACTGATATGTTCCCTAGAGCAACGAACATAGAGGAAAGAATAAATAAATGGAACTTCATCAAAATAAAAAGCTTCTGCATGACCAAGGAAAACATCAGCAAAAGGAAAAGGGAACCAATTATATGAGAAAATATATTTTCAAACGATATGTTGGAGAAGAGTTTGATCTCTGAAATATATAAAGAACTCACACAACTCCATTCCAGGAAGACAAACAACCCAAATAAGAAATGGTCAAAGAACCTAAACAGACACTTCTCTGAGGAGGACATACAAAAGGCCCAGAGACATATGAAAGGATGCTCAGCATCATTAGCCATCAGAGAGATGCAAATTAAAACCACAATGAGATACCACTTCACACTGGTCAGAATGGCTATCATAAACAAATCAACAAGCAACAAATGCTGGTTCCGGAGAAAAGGGCACCCTAGTATACTCTTGGTGGGAACGCAGACTGGAGTAGTCACTGTCAAAAGCACTATGGAATTTGCTCAGAACACTAGAAATGGAACTGCCTTTTGACCTGGCAATTCCACAGTTGGGATTCTACCCTAAGAATCTTGAAACACCAATTCAAAAGAACCTATGCACCCCAATGTTCATAGTAGCATTATTTATAATAGCCAAATGCTGGAAGCAAACTAAGTGCACATCAGTAAATGAATGGATCAAAATATTATGGTACATTTATACAATGGAATACTACACAGCAAAAAGAAAGAAGGAACTACCCTTTCTGACAGCATGGATGGACCTGGAGAGCATTATGCTAAGTGAAATAAGCCAGGTAGTGAAAGACAAATACCACATGATCTCACTTATAAGTGGAATGTAATCAACAAAACAAACAAGCAAACAAAATATAACCAGAGGTATTGAAAGAAAGAACAAACTGACAGTAATCAGAGGCAAGGGGCAGAGGAATAACGGGGGAAAACAGAGAAAGGGCCATCAAGGAACATGTATAAAGGACACTGGCACAAGGCCAAATGAGGTGTTTGAGGGTGGGAGACAGGGATGGTTGGGGCTGGGGGCTACTGGGGGGGATCAAGATAACTATACTTGAACAACAATAAAAAAAACATAAAAAAATTGAACAGACAGTATAGCTAACCAAAAAATAACAGTACTGTCCATGCTTTCCAAAACGTAAAACAGTACCTAGATTCTGTTGCTAATGTACTAGATAACAGATTAACCCTTGGTTACTCACTAGCACAGGAGGGGTGTGTGCCGTCATAAACAAAACCTGCTGTATTAACTCTTCATGGCAAGTAGAAGAAACTATATTAAAAAATCTATGACCAAGCCACATGGACTCATAACTTTGGAAAGGGGAACCCTTCTGCCAGCTTAATCTGGGAGACTATTGCCTGGTTTTTATCCATCCTTGATTCCCTAAGTATAGATCTCCTCCTCAACTTAGGGCCATGCCTTTTTAACTTTCTTGTCTAAATTGTTACCTCTAAAATACCTCAATTCCATGTGAAGGCAATGACTCTGTGGGGATTCCTGCATATCCTTACTTTGGAAGAATCAGCCAATGGCCTCTCTGTTCTGCCCTCAGATCCCATTCCCCTGTCTCCCTTACAGCAGGCAGGAAGAGGCGCCTTCACCCTACATAAGCAGGGATGACAGTCCTTGTCAGTAGGAAGCTGTTACTGAAGACATGCCCTTCTCCCTCATCACCCCACAAAGACTTAAGAAATGGAATTGTCTGAGAGAGAAGTAAGGCAGAATTGTTAGAAGCTAGAAACATTTCTAATGGTGTGGATGGGAAAACTGAGATTAAACAAGGCCAAACAACTTGACCAGTATACAGCTAGTGACTCACAAAACCTCATTTTCTTAACCAAGAACACTGGAGAACAAATGGTGCCTACCTTTTCTCTCTGATCCATGAGTAAATAGTTTAAATCACCCTGGTGAGAGATAGAGGATAGGAACCCTAATAATGGCATCTGTGCCAGCCAAACCCTGAGATGCATGAAGTCAGGGCAACAAGGAACAAAAAAACTGATTACCAGTCAAGATGGAGGCATAGGTAGATATACTTTGCCTCCTCTCACAACCAAAAGAAGGACAACAACAAATTTAAAAACAAAAAATAAGCAAAACTGCCATAAAATCAAAGTGTATGGAAGTCCAATGACCTTAGAGTTGAAGAAATATTCATCCAGATAGGTATGAGGAGGGGAGATGGGCAGCAAGGTGGAGAGTACTTATGGCAAGGCAGTGGCTGGAGGACCAGGGCCAGTGATGCAGCAGCTGGCAGAATATGCTCTCCCACATTTGCATGCAAATGAACTAGGAAGAAAAATTGAGGAGCAACACAGACCACGCAACCCAGGGTCTAGCATGAGGAAATAAAGCCTCAAAACCTCTGACTGAAAAGACCTGTGGATGATGCGGTAGTGGGAGAAACTCCCAGCCCTACAAGAGAGTTCCTTGAAGAGACCCACAGGGTCCTAGAATGCACACAAAACCACCCACCTGGGAATCAGCACCAGAAGAGCCCACTTTGCTTGTGGGTAGCAAAGGAAGTGACTGAAAGCTAAAATGACTGAAGGCTGAGAGGGGATCAAGTGGCATTGTTCCCTCTCTAACCTCTCCCCCACATAGAGAGCCACAAAGTAGTGAAGTGAATTGCCCCACCCTGGCAAATACCTAAGGCTTCACCCCTTTACTACATAAGAGGTGCACCAAGACAAAAAATATGGCCCAAATGAAAGAACAGATCAAAGCTCCAGAAGAAAATACAAGTAAGTGATAAAGAGAAAGCCAACATATCAGATGCAGAGTTCAAAACACAGGTAATCATCATGCTCAGAGAAATGATTGAGTATACTTGCAAAATAGAGAAAAAAGTGAAGGCTATGAAAAGTGAAAGAAGGAAGATATACAGAGAACCAAGAGTGACAGGAAGGGAATGGGAACTCACATCAATGTTGTGGACCAGAAGGAAGAAAGAAACATTCAACCAGAGCAGAATGAAGAAAAAAGAATTCAAAAAATTGAAGAGGGTTTAGGAACCTCTGGGACAACGTTAAAAGTTCCAACATCTGAATCATAGGGGTGCCAGGAGAAGAAGAGGAAGAGCAAGAAATTGAAAACTTATTTGAAAACATAATGGAGAACTTCCCTAATCTGGCAAAAAAGAAATAGACTTCCAGAAAGTCCAGGGAGCTCAGAGTCCCAAAGAAGTTGAACCCAAAGGGGAACACACCAAGGCACATCAGAATTACATTACCCAAGATTAAAGATAAGGGCAACTCTTAAAAGCAGCAAGAGAAAAGGAGACAGTTACCTACAAAGGAGTGCCCAAAAGACCATAAGGTAATTTCTCCAAAGAAACCCTGCACGCAACAAGGGGCTGGAAAGAAGTATTTGAAGTCATGAAAGGCAAGGACCTGCATCCAAGATTACTCTATCCAGCAAAGCTCTCACTGAGAATGGCTGGGCAGATAATGGGCTTCCCAAATAAGGTCAAGTTAAAGGAGTTCATTATCACCAAACCCTTATTGTATGAAATGTTAAAGGAACTTATCTAAGAAAAGGAAGACAAAAACTACGAATAGTATAATGACAACAAACAACTATCAACAACCAAACCTAAAAAAACCAAAAATGAAAATGAACTAAGCAAACAACTAGAACAGGAATAGATTCACAGAAATGGAGACCAAATGGAGGGTTGTGGGCGTGGAGGGAGAAGCAGGAGAATTGGGGAAAAGGTACAGGGAATAAGAAGCATGAATAGTAGGTACAAAATAGACAGGGGGAGGTTAGGAATAGTGTGGGAAATGTAGAAACCAAAGAACTGATCTGTACAACCCATGGACATGAGCTAAGATGGGGGAATACTGGTGGGAGGTGGGTACAGGGCAGAGGGGAATAAAGGGGAGAAAAAATGGCACAACTATAATAGCATAATCAATAAAATATATTTTTAAAAAACCATCTGATTAGAGCCAGAGAGATCCAAGATAAGTAAACCAATAAAATAGATCAAAGAATAATCCCAAACTCCCCTATATGATCATTTTCATGCATCAGCATGTTAAAAGTATTCTGCTGAAACCTCCCCTAAGATTGTCACCTGCAGAAGGAAGATAAAAACTTTCAAGACAAAAAAATACCAGTGCAAGTTCACTCTGGAGGATGCTCATGGTCTTTCTCTAGCATGGACTTTTTACTTTCTTCCTCCTGAACTCTAAGGGTTCCCCACAAGACTTGCAACCAGGGCAGCAGTGGGCAGCAGCAGCTCATCCTTGGCTTATCCCCTGAACCTGTCTCCAAGGCCCCCTTTTTCTCTGACTGTCCAGTGAGCTAAAAGCAACCCCACCTTGACTCACTTCTGTCACTGTGACTTTTACCTCTCAGTGAGTTCACACAGCCCAGTGTGGCTCACTTCTTTTCTATAACATTTCTAGGGAGTCAAAGCAGAGCTCTGCCTAGGTTCTCTCTTGCTGCTTCTTCCACCCTAAATCCTTCATTTGCTTCACTGTCCTCAATGTTAGTAAATGTACGCTCAGAATCAACTTGACCTGTGATATAAAATCTTTCCTATACAAGGTCAAGAAAACACACACTATGGCTGGCCTGAGGCACACCCAGTCTGGGTCCCCTCCTCATCCCGTGACATTATTGTAAGTCTCATTTGTCAGAAAAATCATACCAGCATCCCTGAGTTACCCAAAGGAACCATTAGATCAAGTATACTCACGTTGTTCAGCCTGCAGCTCAGTCTCTCTTGCCCCTGTTCCCCAGTGCTTTGTTGTGGGCAACTTGTTTTTCCTGAAGAAGAAGCACACTGGGTTCAATGTACCGGGTGCTGCTGGGAGATGAGTTTAAAAAGAAATAAAACAAAATCTTTCTCGCAGTCACTGGGGCTTACAAGCTGTTCAGGGATAAGCTTTCTTAATAACATTTCCTTCCTGTAATTGTCAAGAAACCAATTAATGCAGTTCATTTGCATAAGTGTTTACTGGTGTCTGTGTGGAGAAGAAAGAGTCGTATTTGGTGGGATTTTACAGAAATGAACTTGGCACTCAGGGGTGATGTGCATAACTGTGTGCAAGACAGATAACAAAAACAAGCCTCAATAATTTCAAAAAGATTGAAATCATACCAAGCATTTTCTTGGATCACAAGGGACTGAAGCTAGAAACCAACCCCAAGGGAAAAAACCCGAAACACTCAAAATCATGGAGATTAAATAGCATGCTATTAAACAATGAATGGGTCAAGAATGATATTAGGGAAGAAATCAAAAGGTTTCTGGAAACAAATTAAAATGAACTCACAACAACCCAAAACTTATGGGACACAGCCAAGGCAGTCCTGAGAGGGAAGTTCATAGCGATACAGGCCCACCTAAAAAAAGTTAGAAACATTCCAAACAAACAACCTAACCCTACGTCTACAAGAACTCGAAGAACAACAACAAAGACAGCCCAGAGCAAGCAGAAGGAAGGAAATAACCAAGATCAGAGCAGAATTAAATCACATAGAGACTAAGAGCACAATTCTAAGGATCAATGAATCCAAGAGCTGGTTCTTTGAAAAGATAAACAAAATTGGCAAGCCTTTACACAGTCTCATCAAGAAAAAAAGAGAGAGAACCCAAATAAACACAATCAGAAATGAAAGAGGAGAGATTGCAACAGATACCACAGAAATAGAAAGGAGTGTAAGAAATTACTACGAAGAATTGTATGCCAAGAAATTTGAAAACCTAGGTGAAATGGACAAATTTCTAGAAAAATATAATCTTCCAAAACCCAGTGAAGAAGAAGCAGAAAGCCTGAACAAACCAATAACAGCAAAAGAAATTGAAGCAGTCATCAAAAAACTCCCAATACACAAAAGCCCTGGACCAGATGGTTTCACAGGAGAATTCTACAAAGCATTTAAGGAAGAGCTAACCCTTATCCTTCACAGACTATTTAAAAAAATCCAAAAATATGGGAGACTGTGAAACTATTTTTATGAGGCCAATATCATCCTAATTCCAAAACCAAATAAAGACACAACAAAGAAAGAAAACTTCAGGCCAATATCACTGATGAATATTGACGCTAAAATCCTCAACAAAATACTGGCAAACCGCATCCAACAATACATTAAAGAGATTATACACCATGACCAAGTGGGATTCATCCCAGGGATGCAAGAATGGTACAATATTCACAAATCAGTAAATGTAATACATCACATAAACAAAAGCAAAGACAAAAACCACATGATCATATCAATAGATGCAGAAAAAGCATTTGATAAGGTACAGCACTCATTTGTGATAAAAACACTCAGCAAAGTGGGAATAGAGGGAGCATTCCTCAACATATTAAAGGCCATATAGGAGAGACCTACAGCCAACATCATACTCAATGGGTAAAAATTAAAATCTTTTCCACTAAGATCAGGAAAAAGACAAGGCTGTCCACTTTCACCACTTCTATTCAATATAGTACTGGAAGTTTTAGCCATAGGGATCAGACAAGAAAAAGAAATAAAAGGCATTTAAATCGGAAAGGAGGAAACAAAACTGTCACTGTTTGCAGAGGACATGATAGTGTACATAGAAAATCCTATACTCCACCAAAAAACTGCTTGACCTAATAAATGAATTTGGCAAAACAGCGGGATACAAAGTTAATATCCAGAAATCAAAGGCATTTCTGTACACCAACAATGAAAGAGCAGAAGCAGAAATCAAGGAAAAAATCCCATTTGAAATAGCAAAAAGCAAAATAAAATACCTAGGAGTAAACCTAACCAAAGAGGTAAAAGACTTGTATTCAGAAAACTACACAACACTGAAGAAAGAAATCAAGGAAGACACAAACAAATGGAAACATATACCGTGTTCATGGATCGGAAGAATTAATATCATCAAAATGTCCATACTACCCAAAGCAATTTACACATTCAATGCAATACCTATTAAAGTACCAGTGGCTTATTTCATAGACATAGAACAAACACTTCAAAAATTTATATGGAACCATAAACGACCCTGAATAGCTGCTGCAATTTTGAGAAAGAAGAGTAAAGTAGGAGGGATCACAATACCTGACACTTAACTATACTACAAGGCCACTGTAATCAAAAGAACCTGGTACTGGCACAAAAACAGGCACATGGACCAATGGAACAGAACAGAGAGCCCAGAAATAAACCCACGTCTATAGAGTCAATTAATATTTGACAAAGAAGCAGCAACATAAAGTGGAGTAAAAATAATCTCTTCAACAAATGGTGTTGGGAGAACTGGACAGCTAAGTGCAAAAAAATGAAACTCGAGCACCAACTTGACCTTATACAAAAATAAGTTCAAGGTGGATAAAAGAGTTAAATATAAACTGCAACACCATTAAAGTCCTAGAAGAGAACGTAGGTAGGAAAATCTCAGATATTTCACGAAGAAACTTTTTTACTGACATGTCCCCTAGAGCAAGGGACATAAAGGAAAGAATAAATAAATGGGACCTCATCAAAATAAAAAGCTTCTGCACAGCTAAAGAAAACAGTATCAAAATAAAAAGAGAACCAACTGTATGGGAAAACATATTTGCCAATGATACCTCAGACAAGGGTTTAATCTCCAAAATATATAAAGAACTTACACGACTACACTCTAAGAACACAAGCAACCCAATTGAAAAATGGGCAAAGGACTTGAACAGACAGTTCTCCAAGGAGGACATACAGAAAATCCAAAGATACATGAAACGATGTTCACTATCACTAGCTATCAGAGAGATGCAAATTAAAACCACAATGAGATACCACTTCACACCAGTCAGAATGGCCATCATAAACAAAGCAACAAGCAAGTGTTGGAGAGGTTGTGGAGAAAAGGGGACCCTAGTGCACTGTTGGTAGGACTGCAGACTGGTACAACCACTATGGAAAGCAGTATGGAACTTCCTCAGAAAACTAAAAATGGATCTGCCTTTTGATCCAGCAATTCCACTGCTGGGACTATATCCTAAGAACACTAAAACACCAATACAAAAGAACCTATGTCCCCCCATGTTCATAGTAGCACAATTTACAATAGCTAAGTGCTGGAAGCAACCTAGATGCCCATCAGTAAATGAATGGATCAAAAAACTATGGTACATTTACACAATGGAATTCTATGGAGCAGACAGAAAGAAGGAGCTCCTGCCATTTGCAACAGCTTGGATGGAGCTGGAAAGCATTATGCTAAGCAAAATAAGCCAGGTAGTGAAAGACAAATACCATATAATCTCACCTTTAACAGGAACCTAAAAAACAAAAGAAATAAACAAGCAAAATATAACCAAAGTCACTGAAATAGAAGACAGGCTGATAATGACCAGAGGGGAGAGAAGAGGGAATTTCAGGGGAGAACGGATAGGGTTTACAGGAACAAATTTAAAGGACACATGGACAAAAACTAGGGGGAGGGTGGTAATGGGAGGGAAGTGGGGAGGATTGGGTGGGTGGGCTGGATTGGGAGTAAAAAGGAGAAAACTGTACTTGAACAAAGATTAAAAGAAAAAATATAAAAATTAAAGTATTACTATAGGTAAAAAAAAAGACAGATAACAAACACCACCAAAGAGAAATAGGAACCCATTCATGAGCACATATTTTATGATCTTTCTTTTCTCATGTATCAGTTTCCTATTCACTCACAGTATTCAAATCCATAGGTCAGTGTCTGTTCTGGGGGAAACCCAGAATAAGAAACCCAGTGCCTTGGTTAAAAAAACAAAACAAAATGACTGCCAAACAATGAGAACAGGAGATTAATGACTGCAAAAGATAGCGAGGCTGCATATCTAATTTAACCCAACTCATCCACCAAATGATGCTCATGGATCTTGTTTGACATCCCTGCCAGTTCTGAGCACTTCCAGGAGTGCGAAACTGTTGCTACTCTGGGTTCTCCTGTTAGAGAAAGGTAGCATATGGAGTATTATACTCTACTCACCCAGAGAGGAATGAGTGTTTCCATAAGATTCAGTCCCTTTACACAGATCCCACTGCTCTGGGCATGAGGATGGCTTACACATACTCGTGTGTATTCTGTATCCCCTGAGATCCTGGAAGAAAACAGAAGGCAACCTTAAAGTCTACCATTAAAGAAAGATTAGTGAAGGGTGTATTTCCAGAAATGTGGGAAAGTTGTGGTGACCCAAAGGGCTGTTGACACACCTGGGAACCAGTAGTATAGGGAAGCTGTTCCCCTCAGATATAAGGGACAAGAGGCACAAACCCTGTTACTATAGCAGCCAGCACGAGCTGCAGCCAAAGATGCAAGCTACCCGATGAGGTCTTAGGAGACCTCAGCTCTGCCCAAACTGTGACCAGCAAAGAAAGCATGAACTCTCACGTCTCTCTCCTCCTGACTCCCCCTTTCATGGGCTGAACCACCAGTAGGATCAGCACACAGGGATATGTGGGTGATGCCATCCACACAAGCTACAGAATACAGGTTTGCTTCTGGCTCTTAAGAACTTGGGATATTATTCTATCACCTGGGATCTCCCCAAATCCTGCCCACATTTTGGAAGAAGGCCCTGTATTCAATGTCCCTCAAGTTATCCCTTTGAATGTTCCACCTCAGCTTTCCCAGTTATCTGACTCCTCTAACAGCAGAAAGTGGATTTGGGGTGGCAAGTGGGTTCTTGTTCCTCTCTTTGGTCTCCATTCCCCTGCCCCACATGGAGGCAAACAGGATATCTGTGTCTATTTTTAATTTAAAAGAAAAACTTCAAAGACTTGTGCAAATTAACTCAGGGTTCCCAGTAAATACATGACAACTTCTCCTATCCTGCAGAAGGCCTGGCTCATGGAAATCTCAGGGAAACTTGCCATACTATTTTTTTTATTGAATAGATCCACTTTCTCTTTGGATAAAAAGGAGTGCATAAATTGTCCAGCTCACTTTATAATTAACTATTTTTTTCATAAATAGAGTAAGTATTTTCCTTCTAAAAAAGTCCTTGTGAAAAGAGAGCTGGGTGTGGGGACCCATGAGGCTGCTAGGATGTTATTAGGGACTGTGATCTTTTTGATTCAAAGCCTGATATATCTTCAGGACCTGAAAGGAGCACAGAAGTAAATCTGTTCAAGTTCTTGACTCTTCAGATTTGGATGTCTTGCTTTTCCTGTCTTCCAGATAAGTGCAAACATTTCTAATTCTAATTTCTAGTTCTAAGATTAAGATGGATGTAAGTGGGATGGAGAAGGGAACTTTTCTTCAGAAGATGTCCTTTGAATTGGATGGATGGTCCATCCCTGAAGAGTATGAAAGGATAAAGGTTATAAAGTCTCTCAGAGCAGGGCAGCTCCATTTGGGTGGGGTTCAAGACACTATTTAGCTCCTGTAAGCAAATATAAGGAAAGAATTTCAAAAGCTCCTCAGATAAAAAAATAATAAAAAGTTGTATTAAAGAGTCATCATGCTGGAATAAAATTAAAACATAGGCTCTGCAGTCACTGTTTGCAGAGACAGCCACATAGTGAATGACACTCTGTAATTTGTACAAATGTGGTAGATAGGTAAAAAAACTGGTTGTCAGAATCTTGTAATGATTTTGTACTTGGAATATTTCCCTAGTGAAAATCTGAAAAGTAAACATGCAGTTTAAAAGGAAACATTTCACTTGGAAAACGTAAAATGAAATAATGTATAAATCCTGTAAGGGATAAAAGTCCAAATGGGGCTCAGATTTAAAAAAGAAACCTTTTTATTGTCTAACAATTTTTTAATGAGAAAAAGGATATTTTGACATTGCAATGGCCTCAGGTTCTCTGCCTAGTTATAATATAAAGAACAAGAGCCTGCAAATTGACAACATGGTAACAATGAGGACTTGAAAAGATGAGTTTTTTTTTTAAAGTGAATGTACAGAAATCATTGGAACATATATGTATATATTTTTTTTTTGTTACTGAATGGAGTTTTATTACATAAAACTAAGTTTGAAATATTGGGTTATATAACTAATTCAGTTTCTTAAATTCTTAAACACAAGAAGTGATTTTTCTCTCACCTTGTTAGTTCTCCAAAATGTTCTTAATTTAGAATGCTTCCCTTTTTTCTTTGTGTTTATGCACAAGAAGCTCCTACTGATTCAGGGAATCCAGATGCTCCTGAGGCTTCTAACTAGAGACAGCTCAGTCTCTATTTCTTGAATACTTGTGAAAAATTTATTTTGCAGTTATAGTTGGCACATGATATTATATTAGTTTAGGGTATACAACATCATGATTAGGCATTTATGTACCACATGAAATAACCACCATGATAAGTCAGGTACCCACCTGGCACCATACATAGCTGTTACAATATTATTGCTTTCCTCCTCTGTGTTGTCTTACATCCTGGGGACTATTTATCACTGGCCATCTGGTTTTCTTCCTCCCTTATTGAATTCTTCATAATCTAACATTTCTGCAGTGATGCACCCATAGCTGGGAAACAATGTTTACATTATGGAGAGAGGAATGATTACATAACTAATGTGAGGGACAATTCTTCTTTGAAGTCAAAGACTGCCCATCAGTTCTTAGATAAGGCATGTACAGAAGATTAAGAACTGTTCATGCAACTTTAAAAAATCATCCCTAAATAGTTCAAAAGAATGGCATGCAATTTGAAAGTAGAGTCTGCTATCCATTGTGTGATTTTATATTAAAATTTTCAGTGATATATTTAGGAAAAAACCCAGAAATTATTTGGTCTGAGCCTCTCACTTTGCACATGAAGTAACTGCCAAGCAGAGAAGGGCAGTGATTTTCTTACCACTCCACCTAGGTCCTGGCAAAACAAGGACTGTCTTATTTTTTCAGCCCAGATTAATGCCTTCACTGTTATATAAAGGGCAAAAATAAATATATGAGTACATATAATATGTAAAATGTCAATTTCATTATGTAAAATTTCATGTCTACATATATTAGAAGACATAATAGATGCTTGTACATTTTTATAATATTAATTTGGATTTAAAAGAAGAAAATCAGATGACATCTGTGCAAAAAAAAAAAAAGGAAGAAAGAATAAGAAATGAGACATCCAAGGTTGGGGTGGTGTAGGTAGAAGCTACACTCACCTTTTCCCAGGGTCAAAGTGGAGTTACAACTAAATTATAGAACAACTGACCCTGAATAACTAACTGAAGATTAGCTGAACAGACCCCTTTAACCAAAGATTTAGATTAGAAGCCACATCAAGCCTGGCAAGAAGGGTGGAGATGGAAAAAGGGCTGGCCATGCTTTCACGGATAGTGGCTGGGGAACTGAAGGGATATCTCAGTTGTGGGGGATTTCCCTGAAAAAGATGCCGCCTAATTCCCAAATTGGTCTTTAAAGTCCAGAGCATCGGAGCCAAGAAGAGGTGCCCATACGATATCTGACTGTGAAAAGCAGCAGGGCTTCTGTCCACCAGGGAGAAACTGGAGCCCACTAGAGACACAGGCACTCTCTTAATGCACCAACATACACAATTTTGTTCTCAGACACTCAACCTGGGCTACAGTGGAGGGAAGACTGAGCAGACCAATGTTGCATAAGGAGAATCTGTGGTTTGTGGCTCTGCAGAAAAAGCTGAAGGGACATTTGCCAGAAACCCTGTGCTGATTCATTCTCCCATACCGCAGAGACCATCTTTCTTGGGTGGAGCACTCCCATGTTTGTGGCAACAGTCTGGAGAGCAGTAAGACTTCCTTTGCCCTTCTGGACTTCCTTTCACCCACACTGCAGACCTGTCCCTGCTGACAAGTATAGCCAAGGTTCTTTCAGTGAGAGGGCCTGTCAACCAGGAGGTGGAGGTATGCAGAGGTGGATCTTGAGGTGCCTTGGGACTTTTCCTGACCAGGCCTGTGCCTGGTGCTGATAAAACCCAGCTTTGGTGCACAGATTGATCCACCCATGTGCACCCAGGTCCAGCAGTGGAAGCCAGAAACTGTGGATGACTTGTAGCTCCAAACAGGTTGCCCAGGGCCAGTCAAAGGCAGCCTCTGACATTGGCCTGCAGCAGAGTCTCTTCCTAGAGGCCCAGAACAAACATCCCCAGTGGCCAGCTTCAGACAACATCAGAGCAGGATCCAATAAGCTTCATAAGCAGCAAATCCAATGGGAGAACTTGGTAGGCACCAAACCCCACTGAGAAAAATTCCACTATGTGTGGTCTGCACATGTACATCATCTTATATGCTGTGGTCAGGGTTGAGCCTCACAGTGAGCCAGCCTGAGTTTTGATACCATGCATGAACATGCCAATAGCAATCAAAACTCAACTACAACAAGAGGACATACATAATATTAAAAAAGAACATTCCTGGAGCACCCAGGTCAGGTGAACAAGAAGACTGCACCACTGCATACTACAAGGCACCTACTACATAAGGCAACTTCACAAAGCCTGAGAGTCATAGAAGATTCATGCAATACACAGAAACAAACAAAAAGAGACAGCCAAACTAGGGAGACAAAAAAAACCCACACCCCAAATGAAAGAAAAGGAGGAATCTCCAGCAAAAGAGCTAAATGAAATGGAGGCAGGCAATTGATCAGTTTTAGAGTTCAATACAATGGCTATAAGAATGTTCTATGCCATGAAAAAGATACATAAACCATAAAAAAGAACTAGTCAGAAATGAAGAATACAATATCTGAAATGAAGACTACACTGAAAGGAATGAATAGTAGGTTAGATGAAGCAGTTGACCAAATAAGCAATTTGGAGACAAGGTAGAAAAAACACCCAATCAGAGCAGCAAAAAGAATTAAAAAAATATGAGGATAGTTTAAGGCACCTTTGGAACAGCATGTAAAAAACAACAACATATACATCAAAGGGGTAATAGAAGGAGAACAAAGCAAGGGATTGAGAACCTATTGAAGAAATAATGACTGAAAACTTCCTTGACCTGGTGAAGAAAAAAGACACATAACTAGAGGGAATGCAGAAAGTCCCAAACAAGATGGACCCAAAGAGGTCCACACAAAGAAACATCATAATTAAAATGGCAAATGTTAAAGAAAAAGTTGGAATCTTAAAAGCCACAAGAGAAAGACAGTTACCTACTAGGGA